TTTTAAAACTATATATCAAAGTGATTACATAATTGAGTACTGAAGATTGAGAGCATATAATGACACACTTGCTCTCATCACTCCTTTCCCTCCTACCTCCACTATCTCCCCAATCCTCTTCCCCCAACACTATGTTGTTGCTCTTGTTCTCTCTAGCCCAGTCCTCTGCCTACAAGTGTCCCACCAGCAGGCACTCTGCCTGCTTCAACATAGGCAATAAACATTACTGTACTTGTCTCTCTAATCTACTACTACAATGCCTGTACTAAGTCTCAGATCCTGTAATGATGCTACTGAGCTAGCTACACAGTCCTTCAGTGTAAAGTGTAAGCAGTGTTGATCTCAAGTACTGGTTGAGGTAGAAGAGGTTAGTTGAGTCCACAAGGTACAGATGCTGAGAGGGGTCAAGAGTGAGAAGGAATAGGTAGATCTGAGCAGAACATACAAGTTCCAAAGGTGACAATTAACAAGACAAGAGTAGTGTAGAACAACAAAGCCACACTTCAGAACTAGGCAATACAAGACAAGACAAGGCAAGAGGGAACTTTTACTAATGAGACTGTCAAATTACACACTAAGAGTCACAATAGAGAGTAACTTGATTGCTGGAAAGTACAAATTACATGAGGGTATTTATAGAAATTATGAGTCCTTTGTAGCTACTAGTCCTTTGTGAACAAATCCACCACTGTCTCCTTTGTATCAGCCCATCCAGGACTCTAGATCTGAGTCCCCTTTGTATCAATCAACTAACTGTCTGAAGGCTCAGAGTCTTGCCTTTGTGAATCAGAACTAGAGTCTGGAACCCAACTAGTCTGAATTGAGCAACCAAGACTATTGTGTAGGCAATAATGATGTAATCAAAGGATTACTGACATGAGGATGATACAACTTTGATGTGACTGAGCCCTTCTGATCAGAATGTATTAGAACATATGTGTTGTGTGAGTGTGACATCTCCCAGGTGTTTTAGATTGTGACTGTCCCTAGTCACACCTGAGGGTGTAAATTTGCAAACTGGTGCACTTCATGTTTCAATCTTCTGCTTCTTTTTGAGTTTGTCCTTCTTCTTCAACCATGTTGTTGTTGTAAGAAGTGAATCAGGTCTACAACTGAGTGTAGGCCCTTACACAAAGGACACAGGAGTTGCTACAGTGTGCAAGGACAGTGGATTGGCTATTGGTAGTAACAGAGTAGAGGGCAGAACTGGTACAGTTGTGGGTAAGTACTTGGATGTCACATTGTCTCTGAGTCTTCTGACAAGACACTACAGGCTGATTAGGATGCACTTACTACATCAAGTGTACAGGCTAGCTTCATACTTACTGTACTATAGTAGCTCATACTTCAACTCAAAACATGGGTGTTGTGAATTAATACAGAGTACAGTAGCCACAAGGATGCTCTGATTGGTAAACTGCTTTAAGGGTATGAAGATACTATGACTGTTGACAAACTGAGTGTTGTGTAACCTCTGAGGTTACACACATGACTTTAGTTAAGTATATAAAGGGCTATTTGTAGACACTTAGAGATTATCTTCGTACTTGCTCCTGTACTTAGGTCGACCTCTCCAATCCCAGGTCTTTGCCTGTTCCGTGTTCTTGAGTGAGGCTCCGGCCTTTACACTTTTTTTTGAACATCGCAAAATTTGGGGATTACCTCTCATCCGCTGCCTTTCACTCGTGCCACCAGATTGTCAGCCTCCCCCCCCCCGGCTTCCCCCCACACGTCCACTATCTCCTGCACACCTACAGTACCCTACAGCAATACTCTAGTTAATCACGAACTTCACGAATGCCATGCCGAATTCCCGTTCACTCTTGAAGGCTCATGGGGAGAATATTACCACCTGCCGGCCCACCTTCGATCTCCCAACAGACCCTCATCAGATTGGTCCCGGGATTCTAGGAGAACGCGTCAGGAAGATTGCATACGGTCGCGCCAGAGTCGTGCGCGTTGTGCCTCATCGTGAGTCTCGTCAGTTGGCTACAAGTAAGATTCCGCCACTCGAATATATGCTTTCGCCGTGCCACCCTCTCCCAGCAAACCCTCATCAGATTGGTCCCTGGATTCTAGGAGAAGGCGTCAAGAAGAGTGCGTGTGGTCGCGCCAGAGTTACGTGCGTCGCGCGTCATTGTGAGTCTGGTCAGCTGTCTACAATTAAGGTTCTGCCACTCAAGAATATGCTTCGCCGTGCCACTTCAAGCAGATTATCTACAGACTTGCTCTTGCTCATAACCTTTCTGCCACTCGTCGCGATCTCAAGCTGGTGTCTAGAAACAAGCTGTGGAAGCCCCCACTATCCTATTTCTCAAATCGTTCGAGGAGAACGCTATCTTGGTACTGCTACTGAGATCAGGAGCTGCTGTGCAATTGCTCCACCAGAACACCGTCGAGAAACAAGCTGCAGAAGGACCCACTGTCCTAGTCCTGAAATTGCGCAAGGAAGCGCTATCTTGATACTGCTACTGATATCTGGAACTGTAGTGCAATTCTCTTCGGGAGCTGCAGGTTCCACGCCGACAGATGGTGTCTACTTTTAGTACAACGGACGTTACGATCGAGCTGTCGACTACAGCGTATTCGTTGTATGCTTGTTGTACCTACTGCGACGCGTATCTCTCCATTGTCAAGGTGTTTGTCAAGACTGTCTATTCCTTACTATGCTATCTCTTGCTCTGTCACCGTCTAGTGTCTACTGTCATTGTCTACTGTCTACTGAGGGTATAAAGTCCCTTTCCCTTCCCTTCCTGTTTCCTAGGGTATAAAGTCCCTTTTCCAGTTGTGGACCTAGTCAGGGTACCAAGCCCCTGCTAGTGTCAATTCCAGTCCCGGACGTATAGGGCCTCTGCTAGCGTCACCTCCTGTTTCCTAGGGTATAAAGTCCCTTTTCCAGTCGTGGACCTAGTCAGGGTACCAAGCCCCTGCTAGTGTCAATCCCAGTCCTGGACGTCTAGGGCCTCTGCTAGCGTCACCTCCAGTCCCAGACCTAGCCAGGGTATCAAGCCCCTGCTAGTGTCATTCCCAGTCACGGACCTAGCCAGGGATTATACCCTGCTAGTGTCATCCAGTCCTTTCCTGTCCTGTCCTATCCTGTCCTGTCCTGTCCTGTCCTGTCTCGTCCTGTCCTGTCCCCCTCATGAACGGACCCCCTGTTGCCTCTACATGCTCTGTTTTACCCACACACCACCTGTACTCTCATCACCCCCAGAATTGGTGCGTCAATTTCGTCAACCTGGCCCTTCCACTCCTCCTAGCACTGACGCACGCCTGAGGATGGCTGTTCACTTCTCGACCATGCGTTTCGATCATTTTTTTCCTCCCCCAAGCAACAGGTGCTGGCATAACTGAAGAGTTGTCGAGTTCTCTTTATCATGCACCCCAACTTTCACGCGCCTTTTCGCTCACGCCACCAAAGAGATTAGATCACCTCCGACACCCAGCCCACTGTTAGTCAAACAAGACCTTCTCAGTTGTCTTCTCCTTATCTGCAGCGACGCTGTGCTCACTAGACCTGTTGGGTATCATTCATGTGTTCCTCGCGGTACCGTTTAACGTCTCGACCATGTGTTTTGGTCAACGTCTCAGTCGTCTTCTCCTTATCTGCAGCAACACCGTGCTCACTAGACCTGTTGGGTATCATTCATGCGTTCCTGGCGATGCAGTTTCACGTCTCGACCATGTGTACTCCTCGTCCCCGTCCTCGTCTCCGTACGTTTTCATTGACGAGTCGAAGCCTTCCTAGGCCAGTTACTATGTGTTCCTCTTCAACAGCTTGCTTCAACTTGCATCCGTCTCGGGGATACCATTTCCACCGACTCTGTCGAAAGTCCTTGTCCCCATACGTTTTCATTGACGAGTCGAAGCCTTCCTAGGCTGGTGACTATGTGTTCCCTCTTACTATACTTCCCTTGCCTCTTCATTAATCCTTCCCTACCTTTTTGACGAGTTGAAGCCTTCTTAAACTCGTGACTGTGTGTTCCTTATTGTCTGTCCTTACCCTTTTGTATTTCACCTCCCCCCCCCTTTACTATATCCTTTCCTTTGTCTCTCCATTAATCACTTCCCTACCCCCCCCCCCTTTTATTTC